GAAGTTATAAGGTAGATTCCCTGCGATATCAATACACGTCCAGAAATCGGTTTTGACGAAAAGCAAAAAAGCACTAAGGGGGTGTAGGTGGTCCCAACTAGTCCCGCCCATACTTTCAGGCATCCTTCATAGCATTGCACAGCCGAAATCGAATCATCTATCTTAAAGTTCTCGGATTTTCACATTTTTCTAGCTCGCGCTTGTTACCGTAACTTTTCTCAAGCTCCTAACTTTTTTTCCTTTTTTTCTTGAGCCATTTTACTGATCCTCTATTCCTTTATCCCATTTTCGGAGCTAAAAGTGTGCTGATTAAGAAGTCAAATGGGTTTCCTAGATCCACTATATAATGGGTTTCGATTACAGGCTCCTCTATCGGCACGGGTATCATCAAATGAACAAGATGCCGCCGAACTGGCACGGTGCCAACAGAACCTTGAACGAGCATATCAAGAAAAAAGGGCATTAGAGATGTTAGTACAGCAACTGAGAAAACAGCTAATGCATGTGAGTTCGTTCATATATTTTCTTCTTAATAAGTTTTGCATTGGAGTCTGTTCCCCTTCCCCACCCCCTCTCCTCCCTTTGAAGCCACCAAGGTGTCGCTACTTAATAAGCTGTCCACGGAATGGTTGGGTTTTTTTACCCACACGAACTGTGATCTTCATAGAAAAATTGGTAGTCTCTATGGGGGTGTTCTCGGGAAGAAATACATTTTTCGGAGAACTCGAAGCCTCATAAGGAACCCTGAAAAATTACATTCCTGAGACTGTTCACAATCAGGGGGAAGGGGCGTGGCTAAAAATCGCTTCGGACAGAACGTGGTATGAACCTGCAAGTGGCTATATATGTACGTACCATAAATATCTCTTGTTTATCCACATAGAGTTATATTAAAATAAACAACCACCAGGAGGAACACTGCCCTTACTTTATTATTCTACTCGGGTACCTATTTTTAATACCGTGCTTTTACTAGGAATTGAGAAACTAATGATTACTTTGAAACAATCCTGGCTGTTTCAGGAGCGTCAATCTCATGAGAATACTCGGCGAGAATTGGAACGGCTCAGGATACAATTGGATAAAAGATGACTCTTATGATTACGGAAATAAAATATGCAATATTATATGTTCATGATCGTGATAAATCCATTAAAATGAGTAATCGTCAGAAATATTTTATTCTACAATAATTAGGTAAAATTAACAAACAACGGAAGTGTTATCTATGCTGGATGACATGGCAGCAACTGGATTTTCATTGGACTGTTGCTGAAAGCAACGATGTTAAGCCTGCGACTGTGAGGGTTCAAATTGGTTACAGGGTCCTTAACGCCTTGTGGCAGGGTCAACCGTCGCGTTTAGGGGTCTCGATGCAGCTCTTACCACCACCATGAGAGTTAGAAGACTCCCACAACACGACACCCCTTCTCCCTCCCCCGACGGCCATCATAGCTGATTATATGTATGCATTCCGTTCCGCACAACTCCAAAAAATCACTAACCTCATCCATCC